AAGGAGATTAGAAGAGGGCATCAGATATCCCTGGAGCTGGAGTTACAGACAGTTGTAAGCAGCCAAGTGGGTGCTGGAAATTGAACCTGGGTCCTCTCTTGACCAGCTTGTGCTCTTAAGCCACCACTCCAGCCCCAACTCCTTTGTGTTTTGGGGACAGTCTACCATGTGTCCTAGCCCTCTGTTCCTTCCTGAGGCGTTCATTTGCACTTCTTAAGAAAGCTGAAGCTGGCTTGTGGCTGCTTTTATTCCCTGCTACCTGGAGTGCCCCCGACCCGCACGGTGGAAGGAGAGAGCCAACTGCAGGTTGCCCCCTGACCTCCCACATGCGCTGTGGCATCTGCACCTCCTCCCACACACAATGAATAAAGACAAAAGTAATTTTAGAAATAACAGATGTGGTGGTATACCCATGTTATCCCAGCGACTGGGAAGCTGAAGCAGGAGGATTGTCACAACTTGGAACAGCCTGGTTTACAATAGTGAGTTAAGACCTCCCCAGAGCTAGAGTGAGAGAGACGGCTCAGAGGTTAAGAACACTGACCTCTTGCAGAGGTCCTGAGTTCAATTCCCAGCAACCACATGGTGGCTCATGACCATCTATAATGGAATCTGATTTCCTCTTCTGGTGTGCATGAAAAATCACTCGTATACATAATAAATAAAAGAATCTTTCATTTATTATGTATCCAGTAAATCTTTTTTAAAAAGATTATTATGTATATGATGTGCTGTCTGCATGTACACATGCACACTAGAAGAGGGCACTAGATAGCATTAGAGATGGTTGTGAGCCACCATATAGCTGCTGAGAATTGAACTCAGGACCTTTGGAAGAGCGGCCAGTGCTCTTAAACTCTGAGCCCAGCCCAAATAAAAGAATTAAAAAAAAAAAAAAAAAGTCAGCTAGGCAGTGGTGGCGCATGCCTTTAGTCCCAGCACTTGGGAGGCAGAGGAAGGCAGATCTCTGTGAGTTCAAGGCCAGCCAGTTCTATAGAGTGATTTCAGGAAAGGCAGGGCTACACAGAGAAACCTTGTCTTCCCCTCCACCCCACCCCCAAAAAGGACGAAGAACAACAACCACCAGTCTTGGTACACACCTAAAGTCACTAGGGGGACAGGATTCCAAGTTCAAACTGCAGTTAAAGGTGAATAGCCTTAAGAGAAAAACCCAGGGTGGGGATGGTGGAGAGATGGCTCAGTGGTTCAGAGCACTGGCTGTTCTTCGAGAGCTGGGTTCAATTGCCAGCACCCTCATGGCAGCTCACAACTGTAACTCCAAGATCTCACACCCACAGACATACATTCAGGCAAAACACCAGGGTACATAAAATAAAAATAAATTTAAAAAATGAAAGAAAAGCCAGGCATGGTGGTGGCTGTCTGTAGTCACAGCACTCAGGAGAGGGAGGTATAATTGGAAGGTCATGTTGCACTGAGACAAGGTGGCTCTCGTCTATAATTCTAGCATTTGGAAGACTGGCAGATCTCTGAGTTCAAGATCAGCCTGGTCTTGAGACAAAACCTGCCTGGAAAACAACAGAAAAATCAGCCTGGGCTGTGGAGCAAGTTAAAGACCCTGTCTCAAAATAATAATAATAATAATAATAATAATAATAATGATGATGATGATGATGATGATGATGATGATGATGTTCTTCTTCCTGACTGTGGACACTGAGACCTTCTGCTTCTCACTCCTGCTGCCAGAGTGTCTCCACTGTGAGCTATTTCCCCTCAAACTGTGAGCAGAACCACGAGGAGACTGAAAACACCATCCAGTCATTTTTCACTGGAGATTTTCACCATGAGCACGTGTTCCTGGAGAGGATCTATGGTTCTGAGGTTGAACAGTGCCCTCCATTGTTTTTCCACTTTACTTTTAGTTTGGTGTTCGTTTTTTGTTCTTGTTTTGTTTTGTTTTTTGTTTTTTTGAGATAGGGTCCAGGCTGGCCATCTGAGGATCTCACAGAGATCCACCTGCCTCTGCTTCCTGAGTGCTGGGATTAAAGGCAGATACCACCGTGCCCATCTCAACTTTGTTTTTTTGAGACAGGCTCTCTTACTGAGAGCTCACTGGTTTGATAAACTGATACTGGAGCCCACAAGTTCGATTAACTGCCATACAGGCTCCTGGGATCTTCTTGTCTTTCTTCCAAGCCCTGAGATTACAGATGTGAACTACCTTGTCTGCTCTTCCTCAGCATGGGTGTCTGGGATCTGAGCACAGGTCCTCTTGCTGTGCTGACAACCGTCTTCCTAGCTCAGATCTTTATTTGCTTTTAGACAAGGTTTTACTCTGTAGTCCTGGCTGGCCTTGAACCCTTGACTCAGCACCGCCTCACCCTACCCCCCAGATGGGGAGATTACAGAGGTGTTTCACCACAGCTGGCTGAGAGAAACAAGTGTAGCAAGTTTTGAGGCCAACCTAGGCTACAAAATGAGATATAGTCTCAAAAGCAGAAAAGAAAAAGAGACATCATGCCAAATCTGAAGAAGGTTCTAGAAAGTCACCCTTTTCTGCACCTGATAGCTGTAAGTATATTTTGATATGTGACAGAAAATTGTTGCCTGTTTTCTTTCCCTAGGATTGTAACAATTCATCCGAGAACATTGTGTTACTAACCTCTGCCCATTCAAAACTATTTCCTGTTTGAACTGTGATACAAGACCGGAAATGGAGCTTGGTGGTAGGGAATTTGCTTAGCATGGCAAAGTTTTTGGTTCCGTCTACTGTACAATAGTGATACATATTTATTTTCCCAATTGTGGGGCGGGGGGGGGGGGGGGGAAGGAAACCAGGTGTGATATCATGCACAAGATTCCA